GAGGCTTCCCTCTCCCGTGGAGAAGGCGGTTGTGTTCCTGGCGTGCTTGACCTCTCTGGGAGGGGTGTAGCGCCAGGACAGCGACACTGATGGAAACCGACCACCACCGAGCCTTCGAAGGTCTACGCTGGGCGTTCATCTCGGCGAGCATCAGATCCGTGGTGCGCTTCCACCGCATCCACCTCCTCCTCCAAGGAGGATGATGCTTTCTCCCTCTTTCAATGTCTGCCTCCCTCCCTCTCTCTCTCCCTCCCCTCATCTTCTCCCGTCCTTCCTTCCAGGATGTCGCGGCTATCATGTTGTCGGTGACGACGTTGGCATGGAGTCTCGCCGTGCTAGCCGTTTATTGTAGATGGATGCTGAGGACGATGTGGGGGAAGGTGGCAATTCTCTCGGTAGTGTGTTGGGGGGTTCCAGGGTAATCTTCCCGAGATGAGCCAGCCTGGCTTGTCACAGGGTTCCCCATCGAGTATTCAACCATTCAACCATTGTCTAGAAGGCCCCCAAGAATCGTCGGATTCGCAGCTTGCGCACTGCGACGGCCAATATTACGTCTTGGTCGTCTAGGCTCTGAGCAAGCCTTCTGTTTGCAAGAACTCCACAAGCCTTCGGCACCCCATGACAGGATTTCGAGCGCTCTTGCACCCTTCTGGTCATACCGATGCCTTCACTGGACTTCTTACCTGTGAGCCTTATCTAAGCGGTCGAAGGCGCTGCAGCACCCAGCGATTGATATGGGGTAGATCCTGGTGGCGTGACATCGCTTTCATTGTAGTTTGCATGCTGATAACGAGCCTGGGACGCGCGAGGGCAAGGCAGAGCTTCTGTTTATGGTTGCGTCTGTGGTGAAGGCGCTGGGGACACCCTTGTAATTTGCGGTGATTCGCAGATAGACATTATCCGTAAGGGCTTCGCCCCATGCCGCTGGCCCCCTGTCTCGGATAATGGGAGATGCAAAAGTTAAGTTATGAGGTCTGGGCGCCGCCGTGAAGCAGTGTCGGGACCTGTTTGTTTTCGACCCTGACCCCACCGATCTGCGTGAGGGGTGCCATCGAAGTTTAGAAATGTAGCAAGTCCAACATGTTTTTGGACCCTGACCCCGCCGATCTGCGTGAGGGGTGCCACCGAATGTCAGAAATGTGGCAAATCCCATGTGTTTTTGGACCCTGACCCTGTCGATCTGCGTGAGGGGTGCCACCGAATTTCAGAAACGTTGAGGATCCACTGGGTTTTCGGACCCTGACCCCGCCGATGCCACCGAATGTCAAAAATGTTGAGAATCCAACGTGTTTTTGGACCCTGACCCCGCCGATCTGCGTGAGGGGTGCCACGGAATGTCAGAAATGTGGCAAATCCCATGTGTTTTTGGACCCTGACCCCGCCGATCTGCGTGAGGGGTGCCACGGAATTTCAGACATGTGGCAAATCCCATGTGTTTTCGGACCCTGACCCCGCCGATCTGCGTGAGGGGTGCCACCGAATGTCAAAAATGTTGAGGATCCAATGAGTTTTCGGACCCTGCTGCCTCTGTCGCGCTCCGCCCGCCAGGGAGAGCACGCTGCGCACGGAATGACATCAACGAAAGCATAATGGACGGGTTGGCCACGGCGAAGCAGCTATGATGCCCACCTCGAGGACCGCTATGATGCGGACGTGGCCCTGAACCTCGCTGAAGAAGAACACGAGTGCGAAGGCCTATGATGGTCCCTCTTCCCCCAGAAAGGGCCTTCCTGATGGTCTCGGACTGGGTGTGAGGTGCCTATGATGGCCCCTCCCCTCTGTGCCCACCCAGTTCCGCTCACAGGGATCTTGTGCAGCCTCCCACCATGGCAGGATGGTTACATGACCACCGCCTGGAGGATCAATTTTCGGGGACCTCGACAGGCGGTGGATGTGGATATACTCGGGCCACCGGGGGCCAATACACATATATATATATATATATGTGTATATATGTATATATATATATATATATATATATATATATAGAAGGCTGCATTGGCGCTGCGCGCCATGCACCTTGGTCCTCTGAGTTTCGCACGCAAGCGAGGCGCGTGCGTGCGTACATGCGCGCATGCATGTATACACGCGCACGCGCATGCACGCTCTGCACATAGATCTATGTGAATGCTACACATGTATACTATTGTATACGTGCGTATGTATATATATATATATTCCATATAAGCATGTGTATGTATGTATGTATGTATGTATGTATGTATGTATGTATATATATATATATATATGTCAATCGCAGGTGTTTGTTGGTGCACGCACCTATATGTAATTATGGGTGCGCATACACATGCGTATCTCAGGCGGTAATGGCCTGACCGCCTGCTCAGGGCATCTCGCAACTCAGAGGTGCGAGGGTCTCAGGCGAAAGTAGCCAGACTACTACGGGGCAATGCATCTCCGATGTCAGCGTTGCGAGGATGTTTCAAGCGAAAGTGAACTGGCCACCTCAGCTGAGGACATACACGATCCTGGAATTGTGAGGATGTCTCAAACGAAAATGGCCTGAACACCTCAGCTTAGGGCATCCCTGAATCCAAAGTTGCGAGGATGTCTCGGGTGAAAGTGGCGGACTACTCTGCGGCAGGGCATCTCGGAGTCCAGAGTTGCGAGGATGTTTCTAGCGAATGTGGCCGGAACACCTCAGCTCAGGGAACCCCGGAGCCCAGAGTTGCGAGAAGGTCTCAAGCGGAAGTGGCCGGACAACCTTGGGGCAGGGCTTCTCTAGGGTCAGAGTTGCGAGGATGTCTCAGCCGACAGTGGGAAGGAAGAAGGCGAAGGGAAAATGGAATGGGAGGAGTCCCGCGGACCCGAGGACAGGCAGGCACGAACGCTCAGGATCGGAAGTCATGGCATGGAGGCTGGAACTGACGCGGATGCAAGACGCTGGGAGCTGGCCTCTGAGAGCGTTGAAAGACAGGTGGACCTGAGAGGGACTCAACGACGGGCGCCGTCAGAACCTTTGGAAAAAAATTGGAGGCCTTGTGAACGTGTCAGAGTGTTACGTGTCTGATTGCTACGCGGCAAGGCGTATCCGAGGTTGACGTTGCGAGGATGTCTCAGGCGAAACTGGCCCGAGCACTATGGGGCAGGGCATCTCCGAAGTCAGCTGTGCGAGGTAGTCTCAAGCGAAGAGTGGTCTGAACACCTCAGGCCGGAAGGTCGAAGAACCCTCTTGCAAGAGCGTCCGAGCAGCCCCCGGGGAGCTTCCCATCAGGTCGAGCAGCCCGGGGAGTGCGAAATGCGTTCGGGGGGATGTGTGCCGCACATGTAAACTCATTTTGCATACGTATACATGTGCATGTGTATGTATGTATGTAAATATGAATATCAAATGACAGCTTTTTCCAACGTCTGAACGTCCCAAGGGCGTTTGACGCTCGTTGCACACGGTGATGTATTGTTGAACGAGTTCTGCATCCGTGCAATCATTTCTATACAAGGACATTCCATGTAAAACGCTCTTGGGCCGTCTTGGGCCGTTCGTGGCCCGAAAAAGCAAAAACCCAAACAACCTTCAAACCTTTGCAACAAATTAATGAATTTTGCCTCTTTGGGCCTTCTTGGGGGCCCTTTTGGGCCACTTTGGGACTCTCTTGGACCGGTTCGGGGCCCTATCGGGCCGTCTTGGGGCGTCTTGGAGGCCTTCGGCTGTCTTCGGGCTGTCTTGGGGCCTCTTGGGGCCCTCTTGGGAGCCTCTTGGGGTGCTCCTCAGGCTCTCTTTGGGCCGTCTTGGGGCTCCCGTGGTAGTTTTCGGGCCCTCTTGGGTCGTCTAGGGGCCCTCTTGGGCCGTTTTCGAGCCCTTTGGGGGGCCTCGGGGGCCGTGTTGGGACTACCTTGAGAGCCTCTTGGACCGTCTTTGGCCGTTTTTGTCCAGGAAAAGCGAAACCGAAAAAGCCTTCAAAAACCAGTGACAAATCAATGAATTTTGCTTCTTCGGGCCCTCTTGGGAAGCCTCTTGGAGGCCTCTTGGGGCGTTTGGAAGCCATGTTGAATGTTTTGGTGTGCTTTGGAACTGTCGACGAGCTGTCTTGGGCAATATTGGAGGCCTCTTTGGACCTTCCGAGAAGGCCGGAAGGCCGAAGGAACCCTTTGCAAGGGCGTCCGAGCAGCCCAGGGGGGGCTTCAAGCAGCTCGGGAGTCCGAAATTCGTTAGGTGTGTGGGGGGGGCGCTTTTTCCGGGGTCCCCGGCCCTATAAAAACATATAATAGGAATACACACACATATATATATACATATATGTATATATATATATATATATGTGGTCCAGGGCTTGGGCCCCCCCCCTCCCCCCCAATGCTGATGCCATTGGCCCCCCCCCCCCCGCGCGATGGTCCCCCCCGCCCCCCCTGTGGGCGTGGCGTGGTGCTGCGCTGCGGTGCCCCCCTCCCTCCCCCTGTGGATGTGGTGTGGTGCTGTGGTGGTTCCGAGGTGGGCGTGGCGTGGTGCTGCGCTGCGGTGCCCCCCTCCCCCCCCTGTGGATGTGGTGTGGTGCTGTGGTGGTTCAGAGGTCGTCGTCACCGTCCTCGTCGTCGTCGTCGTCGTCGTCGTCGTCCTCGTCGTCCTCGTCGTCCTCGTCGTCCTCGTCGTCCTCGTCGTCCTCGTCGTCATCGTCGTCGTCGCCGTCGTCATCGTCGTCATCGTCGTCGTCGCCGCCGCCGCCGGCGTCGTCGCCGCCGCAGCCGTCGTCGTCGTGGTCGTCGTCGTCGTCGCCGTCGTCGTAGTCGTCGCCGTCGTCGTCGTCGTCGTCCGTCGTCTCTGGGACCATACCATCTGGGGGGGAGGGGGCCCGAGGAATCCTGGGACCATACCATCTGGGGGGGGGGCCCGTGGGCCCGGAGCCCGGGATCATGTATGTCCGTATCCACCGCCCGCTGGGGCACCAGGGCGTCGGTTCTCGGGCGGTGGATATGGACAAGTCCCCGCCTCGCGGGATGGGTGAGCGGTCCGCCTCCCTCCGCCCGCCGCTCCTGCACGCACGGCGCAGGGCTCATGGGGATCCCGGTCCGCGAGCGGCGCGCTCGGTGTCCACGGGCCACTGCCGCCGCCACCTCGGGGCAGCACTCCCCTGGGGAGCGTCACGCTGGGCAGCCCAACAACGTCAGCGAGGAGGAGGAGGAGGAGGAGGAGGAGGAGGAGGAGGAGGAGGAGGAGGAGGAGGAGGAGGACATAGCCCAACATAGCCCCCCCCCCCCGACAGCGAGCAGCCACCAGGACAGGCCGTGCATGGAGCGCCGCGGAGGAAGAGACGCGCCGACACAGGGCAAGATGCCGAGCTGGCAAAAGGCACAGCCACCTCTCCGTCCCTGGTTCCCGCGCTCATTTTGCTCAGCCTGGGACCCCTGATCACTTGAGGCGTTGGAGCCGCTGAGTTGTATGATTCCCCCTGGTCGGATGCAGCATCCAGCGCAGCTCCAAGCAACCCGCGCGGAGCTCTGACAACCCAGGTGCATCCCCTTCTCTTCTTCCTCTGGGGGGAGGGAGAGAGGGTCTCGGAAAGAGCGAGAGAGGAGTGGCCGAAAGTCACCGAGCGCGTTCCACTACTCGCAAAGTGCCTACTCGCAAACGTCCAAGAACATGTGATGTTCGATGCAGTGGAGCTTGTTTGCCTCGACGCAGTGGATCCAGGCCACTTGCCAGTAGCTCCTCTGCGAGTAGTGGAACGCGCTTGCCCAGAAAGGGCGGCCTGGAGGGCCAGGGAGGCAGCCCTCAAGGGACGTCCGCGGGGGCCTCGCCGGTGCCCGCCGCCGAGGTCCTGCGTGGTCTCGCTGCTGATGATCCTGGTGCCGTCCATCCTCTGGCAGGCCGCCGAGCACCTGTCCTGCTCCTGCCCTCCCGCCCGCCCTGCCGCCCTCCCCCCCGCCCTGGCCTGGCCCCCCTCAGGGCGGCGTAGATGTTTTTCGCCCGGGTTGACTTTCGCCCGGCTCGTTTCGCCCGGTTCAGTTGGCCTGGGTCTGCTTTCGCCGGGTTGGCTTGCGCCCGGGTTGGCTTTCGCCCGGGTTGGCTTTCGCCCGGGTTGGCTTTCGCCCGGGTTGGCTTTTGCACGGGTTGGCTTTCGCCCGGGTTGGCTTTTGCCCGGGCTGGTGTTTCGTCCCTCCTCTTCCTCCCCTCCTCCTCCCGCTCCCGTCCTTTTATGTTGCTGCTGCTCCTTTTCTTCCTCTCGTTCCCGCAGCAGCACCAGAAGTATAACACTCCGCCTTTTTCCCAGACGGCCTGACCTACACATCCACACCGCCCTTGCTCAGGTCCCCCTGAGGCCCAGGGTCAGTCAGTGCGACGTGCCCCACTGGCAAAGCCAGACGCGTGCTCACTCGAGCGCGCCTCACACTTTAGTGTCCCGCCCGCCCGATGCAACCCGCCCGTCAGGGTTTGCCCGACCCGACCCGCCCCGCCCCGCCCGTCAGGGTCCGCCAGCCCGACCCGACCCGCCCGTTAGGGCTTACGCGTGCACACTCGAGCGCGCCCCGCACTTTAGTGCCCCGCCCGCCCGACCCGACCCGCCCGTTAGGGTCCGCCCGACCCGACCCGACCCGTCCCGCCCTTCGGGCCGAAGGGGCCTTCAAGCGACGATGCTGAATAGGAGGACGAGGAGGATACTGCAGGGGTGGAGGCCGCTGCTGAGACTCTAGCTGCTGCTGGCTCGGATGCCGTGGCCGCCGCAGCTCTCGCGTCGAATGCCGGCACCGTGCAGGATTCCGCGGGCGCCGATGGCGGCGGCCCGCATGCGCTGGCGGGCGGCGTGGCCAACGGACCCGCGGCCGCAGCCGCCTTCATACAGCAAGGACTCCACGGCGGGTGCTGGCAGCCTGCAACCGCCGATGCCGAACATTTTCGGCGCGGCGCTTGTGGCCAGCGGCGCGGCCGCGGCTGCGGGCGCACCCAGCACTGGGTTTGGCGCCGCCTGCGCAGGCGACCAGCCGTCTTCAGGGCTGGGCGCGGGCTGGCCATGGGCTGGCAGCGGCGCTGTCGACACTGGAGGATCAGGGAGCGGCGTAGTGCTACCGCCCCCGTCGCCCAAGGGGAAATCTAACATGGTGGCCCCGAGCTGGAATCGCGTGTTTTCGCGTGTCCAGGCCACCCAGGGGGATATCGAACATGGTGGTCCCGAGCTGCAGCCACGTGTTTCACGTGTCCAGGCCACCCAGGTGGTATCCAACATGGTGGTCCCGAGCTGGAGCCACGTGCTTTTTCTGACGTAGTGGCCCCGAGCTGGAACCGCGGTCGCTGTCGTCGCTGTCCGCCGTCGTTGTCGTCGTCGGCGTTTCGGCCCGCCGCTTCTCGATGCATTTCGCCTCTGCTTGGACTCGCCGTTATCATGTCGCCCTGTCGCGGAACATAATCCTTTCACACAGTCTCGACTGCAATCAGTTCTGGGCGAGCAATGCGCCCAGACAGCTCGAACTTGAGGCCCAACTCAGTCCTGTCAGGATTCGGAGGCCAAGGAACATTTGATCCACGACGCAACATGGCACAGAACTGCTCAGACTCGCCCCCTTTCGGTGCGTCCCGCGCCCGAACTCAATTGGATCTTGAGCTCGAGCCGGTCGAGCGTCCCGCGCGTCTCGATTGCGACCAGACCAGAGTTCTGCGTTCAGGCAGCTCGAGCTGAAGGTCCATATCAGTTCGATCAGGGTTCTGATGCCACGGACGATCTGATTCACAGTGCAATAGAGCACAGCACTTCGAAGCGGCATGCCGCGTCTTAGTTCAGCACAGCACAGCACAGCACGGCACAGCCCCTGGCACTGTACATCACCACTGCTACCTTGAACAGTGGAACTGCCCGTCGGCTAAACTTGGTGTCCTGCGCAATTTCCATGCTTCATATTTCGATAACTCTCCTTCTGGGTTCGTGGTTCGATCATTTCTCTCTTTCTCTCTCTCTCACTCTATATTTCTCGATGCATCTCTTCTCCCTTTTTCCTCATGCTCTTGATCCTCGTCCCATTTCTATCTGTCCTCCTCCCACCTCCTCCAGCTCGCCCTCTCTTCTCTCCAGGCCCCCTTCCGTCCCCATCCCCCCCCCTCTCCATCCCCGTCTCCTCTACTCCTCTCCTCCGGCTTCCTCCCCCACTTCCTGAACCCCCTGTCCTTGCTAACCTCTCGCAATTGCGTTCTTTAACTTCGAGGAGGAGGAGGATGAGGAGGAGGACTCCTGCCCCACTGCCTCATCCAGTGCGACGCTGTCCCGATCAGATCCAGCCGGGCGTCTTCTACGCACGCCGCTACACCGTGGTCATCTCCCTTCTCGCCGGCGGGCCTCTCAGCCGAGCGCTCTGGGAACGGGATCATTCGGTAGCAAATCATGGGAGCCTGGTATGCCCTCTTAATTTCGTTTTTAGCGTTGATTAGCGTCGATTAGCGTCTAGGAGTCGGTAAGACAGCCCCGATTTAGCATCGGCTAGCGTCGACTAGCGTCGATTTAGCGTCGATTTAACGCCGATCAGCGTCGACTAGCGTCGATTAGCGTCGATTCGCAAGAGCCGACAAGATGGTTTGGGAGGCTCCCGTGGGTTGCCACAGAAGGATCGCACAGCACGGACAGACCTTGCCCGATTGCGCTGCCGTGTTTTTCCGTCACCGTTTTTGGAGAGCAGGGCAAGCAGTGCCGCTTACGATCCGACCCGATGCGGTTCAATGCGCCGGCGGCTGGGGGCCGGGGCCGCGGTTCCGATCTGGCTCGATTCGATTCCATTCTCTGGCATCGGCGATGATCATCGGCCAGGGCCAGTCGGAGCCGGTGTCGGCGATCCGATTTCGATTCGATTCGGGACGATTCCCTGGCGAAGCAAGCTGTTTTCGATCCGATCCGATTTCGCGATTCGATCCAGCTCGGGCCTGGCAGAGATTTGTTCTGCACGATCTGTTCACTCGCTCCGCGCAACACGACTGGACAGAACATCTGCTCGTGTGCCGATGGGGGATGTCTGGTTGCTTGCGGCGGGTTCGGCTCGAGCGTACACAGATCAAGCCTTGCAGGTGCATTGCATTTGAGAGGCAGAGGCATAGAAAGGAGAAGAGGAGGATGAGGAGGAGGAGTAGGAAAAGGAGAAGGAAAAGAACGAGGAGGCGGGTATTTCGAAATATAATTTGTACGAACATCATATGTCGGAATTCCGTTCGGATTTGTGGGATCGGCGCCAGACTCCCGGATCCAGTACCGATCCAAGAAATCAGCGCGGAGTTCCGACCGCTCGTGTTTATGAGTTCTTTCCTGGAGACGGCTCGGGCCCAGGGTTTTATTCTAGTTTGTAAATTTGGACCAGGGCCGGCGAATCCCACGATGTTGAACCAGGGCCGGCGAAGTTCGGTTCGGTGAAAGCGAGGTAAAGCCACTTTTTGGACGGAACATTTGAGGCTGTCTCGAGCGAAGCGCTGGTTTTTCCTGGAAGGGCACATGCCATGGCTCTCCTTTGGATGGTAATCTATGGCCAGTGCCATGCTTGAAGAGGGCCTGTGATCTTCCGTTGATAACAAAACATTGTAAATCGGGAGGGGAAAACAACCAGACAGAAGTAATCCTCGATCCCCCGGAAAATATGGGAAAACGCGGCCTGGCACGTCCCTGGCGACGTCCCCTGAGTGTGACGTGCCCTGACGCGTGCCCTAGCACCACGCCCCTCGGCGCGTCTCGTGGCGCGTTCCTTGGCTCGTCCCCTGTCGTGGCTCCCTGGCTCGTCCCCTGGCGTTTCCCCTGCCCGTGTCGTGGCGCGTCCCTTGCCACGTCCCCTGGCATGACGTCCTCTAACAGGTCCCGTGGCACGCGCCTTAGCACGTCCCGTGGCAGGCCCCTGACGCGTCCGTGTCCCCGGCGTGCCCCTTGCCACGTCTCCTGGCTCGGCCCATGGCGCATCCTCTAGTGCGCCCTTGGCACGTCCCATGGCGCGTCTATGCGCCCTGCGCCCCGTGTCGTCTCGTCCCGTTTCGGAGTGGAGTCGAATCTTGAGCTCGAGCTGATTGAATGTCCCGTATGTTTGGACTGAAACCAGCTCTCAGACAGCTCGAGCTTAAGATCCATATTAGTTCGGTCAGGATTCGGATGCTAAGGACGACTCCATCCACAATGCTACAGAGCACAATCGCGGTATGACGCATTTCGATTCAGCACGGCATTGCAAATGTTTTTCGCCTAATCAGGTAGGTGTCTTGAACACGTGGCCATGCCTCACAAATTCTAAATTTCTTTCCAGGTTCATGGGCCGATCACGCTTTTTCTTATGGGCCCTGGGGAACAGCATTTCCACACAAAGTACTTCTACGCGTTTCTCTGAGTTCCGCAGCGCATCCCCCTATCCGGGACAGAGTGCACTCTCGGCGCGGTGCAGGTATTTTACTTTGTTTTATTCGGTCCTCCTCTCTCTCTCTCTCTCGCTCTTTCTGTCTCCAACTCTCCAACTGTCCTTCTCCGGCGGCTCCGCCTCCTCTTCCTCCTCTTCCTCCTGCTCCCCCTCCTCCTCCGCCTTCTCTTCCACAACGATGACCACCGACCGACGAAGCCGACGACGACGACCCACGAAGCCGACGACGACGACGACGACGACGACGCCACCCTTGGCGCGGCTGCTGAGGCTGCCTGGGGATCGCCTGCCTCGCCCTGCTGGTGGCCACGGCGTTCTCGGACCCCGGCATCATGCCCCGGCAGCAGGAGCCAGACGCCTGGAGGAGGAGGGGCGACGAGGAGGAGGAAGGGCGAACAGGAGGAGGAGGAGGAGGAGGAAGAGTTGGATTAAGAAGAGGAGGATTATGTAAGAGGAGGAGGGGGAGGAGGAGGATTATCGAGGAGAAGGCAGGAGGGGAGGAGGGTCGAGGAAGAGGACGACCAGTGTAAACCCAAGACGCATCAACGATGTTGCGGTACACCCTTCCTCCAAGTTCTCTCGTCGTAGTCCCCCAAACCAATTTTTTTCAGTGCAGGACGTGCCCCACTGGAAGACAACCGTCTGAGAATCCAAAGTCGCGCCAACACACCGTTCCTGGGATTTCAGCGCCCTCGAATCAACGTGACTGTTGCGTCCTGACAAGTTTAAGTTTCCTTGGATTTCACTTCAGCGAATCAAACTGACCGTTGCGTCCTGGCAATCCTTGTCGCGCAAGATCATCATTCCTGGGGCATCAACCATACGAACCCTATAGACGGTTGCAAACTTTCGAGACGAAGGTGTCCGCGCTGAGGAGAATGCCGCATTTTGAAATCGACCCGCCCTCCATCTGCAGTGTAACTGCTGCGACCTTTCGAACGCACGTGCGCGGCGCTAATGCGAGAGTCACGTTTTGAATACGGCCCACCCTCTAGCCTTGAGACTGTTGCATGTTTCTCAAGCTTCAGGGTCATAATGGGTGAGGAACTCTCCGGCGATACGTCAGGCCCGCGCTATCAACACGTCTGGGGGTGCGACAGGGAGGAGTCATGCGTAGGAGGCATGGGGTGGAGGGGCAGAAGGAGGAGGAGAAAGGACGGAAGGAGAAAGGGATAGAGGGATGAAGGGAGGAGGGTCGAAGACGAAACACCAGCAAATGTTAACATATTTTTGTGGACGTCTGCGCGGATGTTCGGCGGCGCCGCCAGGTGGTCTAGCGCCGATTTAAGAATTCGGCGCGGACCTCCAGTGGTTTATCTTTCTTTTCTTGGTCATCTTCTCGAAAATGACGGGCGGAAGAAGGGATGGAGGGATCGAGGTGATGGAGGGAGGGAGGAAGGAGAGAGTGAGAGAGAGAGAGAGAGAGAGATTGATAGAGGGAGCGAGTTCATTAGGAGGGTCCTTTCCCTCTCATCGCCTCCCCTCTCTCTTCACCCCTTCATGCCCCCTCCCCTTCCCCCTCCGTCCCTCCCTTCTTCCTCCCTTCACCCCCATGTTGCCACCTCGACACGACACCGTGGCCTTCTTGACCCCGGAGGCCCAAACGCCGAGGCAAGACCCGGAGCCCTGCAGGATGCATCTGGACGAGCACACGCGGGCGCATCCTGGAGGCACATGGCAGCGCGTGCTCAGCCCAGATCTGTGTTCTCCGTGGCTCAGTGTGCCACGGAGACGGCGGGGCCGTTTTTTCACCGTTTCCGAAAAGAGTCTCTCGAAAGTGGAAGCGGCAAAAACACGGCGACTGGAAACGGCAAAAAAACGGCTCTGGGATTGGATCCGGAGACAGAACTGGAAAATAAACGGCGACGGAACCGGCAAACAAACGGCGTCGGAACCGGCAAGAAAACGGCAAATTGGGACCGGTAAATAAACGGCCTTGTCGTTTCCGGCGCCCACTAAGCTTCGTGGCCTTGACGATGGTGATGAGGATGAGGAGGATGATAAGCATGCCGATGATGATGATGACGACGACGATGATGATGATGATGCTGATGATGATGATGATGCTGATGATGATGATGATGATGATGATGACGATGACGATGACGATGATGATGATGATGATGATGATGATGATGATGATGATGATGATGATGATGATGATGATGATGATGATGATGCTGATGATGATGATGATGATGATGATGATGATGATGATGATGTTGCTGCTGCTGATGATGATGATGATTATGATGATGCTGCTGCTGCTGCTGATGATGATGATGATGATGATGATGAGGATGAGGATGAGGATGAGGATGATGAGTTCTTCCTGTGCTATCTGTGGCCCTCGGCCAGGACTGGCAGGAGCAGTTCGACGAGCGGACGCAGACCAAGAGGTCCAAGGCCCCGCGCCCTCTCCCGCCTGGGGCTGCGTACCCCTGCCCGGCCCCCCCCCACCCCGCCAACGCCTCCCGGCCCGCTTTCGATCCTGCCACCCGCGGAGGAGAATGAGGAGGAGGAGGAAGAGGAGGAGGAGGAGGAGGAGGAGGAGGAGGAGGAGGAGGAGGAGGAGAGGAGGAGGAGGAGGAGGAGAATGATGATGATGAGGAGGAGGAGGAGGAGAAGGAGGAGCACGAGGAGGAGGAGGAGGAGGAGGAGGAGGAGGAGGAGGAGCACGAGGAGGCGGAGGAGGCGGAGAAACAGGAGGAGGAAGAGGAGGAGGAGGAGGAGGAGGGTGGGATGCTGTTGTGGAGTCCTCCTTTGTGAGGAGCAGTGATTGGTAAGCCGCAGGCCCAGGCGCCGCGCTCGCCGCCGCGCGGGCGCGGCCTCCAAGGTCGCAGGGGCCCTCCCCGTGGGGAGGGGCTCCCGGTCGAGACTTCTCAGGAACTATATTCTTGGGGGCGCGGCTGCAAAAAATGCGCCGCCAAAATAGTCCATGATGGAGCGGGGGTGCCGTGGGTCATTTTTCGCGGGATGTCTCCGGCCAAAACGACGAAGCCGTCCATTTTTGGTAAATGTTTACACGTGTTTTGGAAAAGGGGGTGCCGTATGTAATTTTTCCGACCGTTTTCCAGGAATGGTTGAATTTTTGGTTCATTTTGGAAAATCCAAAACCGTTCTGTTTTGGGCGCCTTGCCTGGCTCAATTTTAGCAGCCGCGCCCCTGGGAATATCACTTGCTAATTTCCTCGCGATTCACCAACGGACGACGCCCCCGCTCGAAGCCTCCTCCATATTCAAGCCAGGGGAACTCCAACAAACATGACGATAATTACAGGCTTCAGCTGACCCGCTCGGATTCGAACATGGAAGTGGGGACCCCACGGGGAGGGGCTTCCATTCGAGACTCTCTCGTGGTTTTCTCACAGACGAGGCTCCCGCTTGAGACTTTCTCCGGCGGTTACTCGTTTGATGACGACCCCCTTGGGTTAAAACATGCAGTGCGGGTCCCACAGGGATTCACTTCCGTCTGAGACTTCTTCGCGATTCACTCATAAACGAAGTTCCAGCTCGAGATTTCCTCCATAATCAGGCTTGGGGAGCCCAGCAATGATGACAGTTACAAGTTTGAGGATGATCTCCAGAGATTACAAATCGCGAGGTGCGGGTCTCATAATGGAAGGGCACTCCAGCCTGAGACGTCCCGCAAGTCATTCACAGACGAAGCCAGTGGAACCCTAACGTGACGACTGTTACAGGTTTCAGATGACCCCGTTGATAAATAAGAAAACGTGAAGTGCGGGCCCCGCGTGGAGGGGATCCCGCCTGAGAATTCTTCGCGATTCGCTCACAGACGAGGCTCCCCCTTGAGACTACGTACTACTTCCATACTCAGGCCGAAGGAGTCCAACAGTGACGACAGCTACAGGTTTGAGGATGACCCCATGGGGTTTCAAACGTGAAGCGCTGGCCCTGCAGGGAGGGGGTTTCCGCCTGAGACTGCCTTGCAATTCACTCACAGACGAGGCTCGCGCTGGAGATTCGTCCATATTCTGGCCTGAGAAGTCCAAAAGTGACGACAGGTACAGGTTTGAGGATGACCGCTGGGATGAAAACGTAAGGTGCGGGACCCATCGGGAGGGGGCTCCCGCTTGAGACTTCTTTGAAATTCACTCTCGGACGAGGCCCCCGCTCGAGACTTCCTCAAGGTGAGTGTGTGAGTGTGTTTGTGTGTGTGTGTGTGTGTGTGTGTGTGTGTGTGTGTGTGTGTGTGTGCGAGTGGGTGGGTGAGTGAGTGAGTGAGTGAATGAGTGAGTGAGTGAGTCAGGCGGGTGCGAGAAGGAGTGTGTGCAATGTTGATGATGATGGTGATGATGATGATGGTGGTGATGATGATGATGACGACCAATGATCGATGATCATGATGGGACGGTCGTAGTGCTGAGGATGATAACGACTGGGTGTGATAACGACGATGGTGATAATCATGGTGATGGTGATGGTGGCGGTGGCGGTGATGATGCTGATGATGCTGCTGATGATGGTACTGACGACGATGATGCTGATGATGCTGCTGCTGATGATGCTGATACTGACGACGACGATGATGATGATGCCGATGATGATGACGACGATACTGATGATGCTGATGACGCTGATGATGTTGCTCATGCTGCTGCTGATGACGATGATGGTGATGCTTTTGCGGATGATGCTGATGATGTTGATGGTGGTGATGGTGTGGTGATGATGATGATCAATGGTGGTGATGATACTGACACTGATGATGCTGATGATGATGATGATGCCGATACTGATGATGATGAGGATGATGATGATGATGGTGGTGGTGGTGGTGATGCTGATGATGATGATGATGATGATGATGATGATGATGATTCTGATCATGATGATGCTGCTGCTGATGATGATGATGCTGATGATGATGATGATGATGGTGAGTGAGTGAGTGAGTGAGTGAATGAGTGAGTGAGTGAGTGAGTGAGTGAGCGAGCGAGCGAGCGAGCGAGCGAGCGAGTGGGTGAGCGAGGCATGAGGGGAGGAGGAGGAGTAGGAGGAAATCCTGCGCGGGGTGTGTGCAGAGAAAGCAAGAACTCTGCATTGAATGTGGGGAACAACTCATGGAAACTCAGTAATTTTGGCATCTTGGGAGGCTTCTTGGAGGCCTTTCGGGGCGTCTTGGAGGCCTCTTGGGCCGTCTGGGGGCCATCTTGATCGTCTGGAGCGATCGTTTGGCTACTTGGGGCCCTCTTGGACCGTCTTCGGAATCTCCTGGGGCCCTCTCGGTCCGTCCTGGGTCTTCCTGGGGCCCGAAAAAGTCATGCGACAAACCTCGACGGGTCCCAAGGGGCACGCGGACAGCCCTGGAAGATTTGGCAAGTTGGGCTCCAGGGCCCTTCAAGACTCTTCAGTAGGGAGGACTGAGGCTGAAAGGATTGGGCAAAGGTCCTGAGGACGCGCCCACTCCGTGCCCAGCGGCACGGTAGCGGATTGAGGAATCGAAGGGGCCTCAGGATATTTTCAGAGCCGCGAGGCACGGCTGTGAATCATTACCAACCGTTCGTGCAGATCTTTGCTCAAGAGCAAGTCGATCACGTTTTTGATCGACTACTGAGGTTTCACCCCGGGAGGCATGGCGCACTGGACGGACGTCCAGCGTGTGCGCGTTTTTCTTGCTCAGCTCCTTCGGCGTCCCTGGCGCGTCTGCGGTAAAAGTAAAGGCTAGAGGCCATCCTGGAGAAGTTGTCGACAAGGCTCGCGAAGTGCGACGGACACCGCGAAAGGGGCATGCAAGTACTGGGCACACGATGTAAACTTTTGAATCGTATGCGACAGCGTTCGCCGAGTTCTAAGATTGGCACCATCTCCCTGACTGCAGAGCGGTCAGAGGAGACCCCGCGAGTGACCTGCAGGGTCCGAACATACCCCTGATCAGACCAGGGCAAGATAAGGCCATGTTGACGCCATCTGAGGCCGGTCGGCCATTTTGACGCCATTTTGACGCCATTTTGACGCCATTTTGACGCCATTTTGACGCCATTTTTACGCCATTTTGACGCCATCTGACGCCATTTTGACGCCATCTGAGGCCCGTCTGGAACCTACCTGGAAGCTCTGGGGTGGCCGGGGAAGCTCCAGGGAGGCCCTGGGAAGGCCTCGGGGGGGGGAGGGGGCACTTGATGCATATTTGTGGCCCCTGGTGGTCTTCGGCCCGGGGGGGCCCAGGGCCATGCCTGGCATATGATATGATTCCCAACCCTCCTGCGTTGGGTTCTCGTTTTGAACAGAGCACTGCTCGCGCGAACCTTCCTTCCCGTCCCTCTCTCCCCCCCTGCCTTTTACCTGGCTCGTCGCTGCGTTTCGAGGGCTGCTGGGGGCTGCGATCTGTGAAACTGTCGCCACTTTCGAGGGCTGCTGGGGGGCCCAGCACAGTGGGCACCCACGGCGGATTCAAATGGGACCTCGCCATCCCTGGGGGGCTGCGATCTGTGAAACTGTCGCCACTTTCGAGGGCTGCTGGGGGGCCCAGCACAGTGGGTACCCACGGCGGATTCAAATAGACCTCGCCATCCCTGGGGGGCTGCGATCTGTGAAACTGTCGCCACTTTCGAGGCCTGCTGGGGGGCCCAGCACAGTGGGTACCCACGGCGGATTCAAGTTAGACCTCGCCATCCCTGGGGGGCTGCGATCTGTGAAACTGTCGCCACTTTCTTACCTCGCTCGTCGCTGCGTTTCGAGGGCTGCTGGGGGCTGCGATCTGTGAAACTGCTGCTGCACAGTTTCGAGGACCTCGCTGCTGAGGGGCCAGCCCAGCACAGTGGGTACCACAGACTCAAATGGGACCTCGCCATCCCTGGGGGGCTGCGATCTGTGAAACTGTCGCCACTTTCGAGGGCTGCTGGGGGGCCCAGCACAGTGGGTACCCATGGCAGATTCAAATGGGACCTCGCCATCCCTGGGGGGCTGTGATCTGTGAAACTGTCGCCACTTTCGAGGGCTGCTGAGGGGCCCAGCACAGTGGGTACTCACCGCAGACTCATATTAGACCTCGCCATCCTTGGGGGGCTGTGATCTGTGAAACTGTCGCCACTTTCGAGGGCTGCTGAGGGGCCCAGCACAGTGGGTACCCACCGCAGACTCAGATTAGACCTCGCCATCCCTGGGGGGCTGCGATCTGTGAAACTGTCGCCACTTTCGAGGGCTGCTGAGGGGCACAGTACAGTGGGCTTCCCGCACGTCTTTCCTGCTCTTCGTTCCCGACTCCCCATGTCCTCTTCGAGCCTGTAGTTGTCGCCCCTCGTTCTTGTATGGTTCTCCTGCGCATCATGCCATTGGCGCGTGTCCCAAGTAGCTTACATATCAAACACCGGATCCTGCAATTTGATTATCCGTGCAAGTTTCGGCCAAATCCTCGTTTCCCATGATACAAGTGGGTTGGGTACGTCACAGGGTATTTTGCGACATTCGGGCGTTATTTGCTATGCCATGACGTTATATGGTATGGCATGACATGCTGTGATACGGTATGATACGATATGAATTGTGGCTATGTGGTATTGTACGATATGTTGTGATATGGTGAAATGATATGAACTAGTATGATATGACATGATATGGTGTGACCTAGTATGATGCGTTATGACATGATCTGATATGGTATGGTATGTTACGATCTGGTGTGGCATGATATGTCACGATGTGGTATGGTGCTGTATGAATTGGCATGCGGTGATTTGGCATGCTATGGTATGTTATGGTACGCAACGGAACGACATGATATGACATTATATGCTAGGGCATACTATGATGCTATACATTATGTTATGTCAACATATGTTACGCAACGATATGATATGATATTTGATGATGTGGTACGACACGGTATGGTATGACATGACAGCACGTGGTATGAAATGTTATACACATATATGTATATATGTATGTTTGTATGTATGCATGCATTGCGTGCATGCGTATATGCATGTATGTATGTATGTATGTATGTGTGTATGTATGTATGTATGTATGTATGTATGTATGTATGTATGTATGTATGTATGTATGTATGTATGTATGTATGTATGTGTATGTGTGTTTGTATGCGTGCATGTATGCATGCATGTCTGTCTGTCTGTCTGTCGGCCTGTCTGTATGTACGTATGTGCATGTGCACATATGATAATGGGTTGCCCCCTTCTCACCCGATGCATATGGGATCGACCCCCCCTCACGCTGGGTGGGTACGCCCGTGAGCCTCGTGAAGGCCTCGCGAATGAGATCGCTCCTCCTTCAGAGGAGCATAAAGTATTGATATTGCTAGTTTTCAAGATTTTCAGGTTGTCCCGTTTTTCAGCGCGGGCTCCATGGACGACTGGTCGAACGCATTCCGTCGCGCAGGTTCTTTGCGTGATGTGCGCGGTGCGTTTTTCGCGCAACGGAGCGCCCTCGGAGATTCCAAACTGCATTCTGTCTTGCTCTTGGGGAGTCTGTGAGTCGCAGCTGCCGTGGCGCGATTTTCGAGGTAACCCCTTCGAGTGCTGTTCTCGGGCGCAGGGCGCGGCGCGCGCTGCGCCCAATCGCACGCGGCGCGGCGCGTGAATCAGCCAGCCGCGCCCGTCGAACCGCCTGGAGCTTATTTCCGGATTGTAGAATGTTTGGAAAAACGCTTCCGTTTTTTTTTTGTTTGGCGCGAGCGGTTCTGGAATTTTCAAAAATGAGTCCGGACATTTTCAAACAAAGAAAACAGTTTTCTTGGGGTGGAATGCGCCCGCCGCGCAGGACTTCTGAAGGATTCTGCAATCCAGAATTTTTCAAAATGGATTCCGGAAGTTTTCACAATGGATTCCAGAATTTGTCGAAATCCATTCTGGGATTTATTCAAGAAGTAGGCCGGACATTTTCAAGAACGTTCCCGGACTTGTCAAATCCATTTTTTGGATTTTTCCCAGAGTCGATCGTGATTTGCTGTGCCAGGTCTTTGGACATCCGCCGAGGCGCGCAGTGCGCGGCGGCGGACGACAGGACGGTGCGCCATCGTCCCCCCAGCGCTCGGCAACGAAATGGGGGATCAGCAAGTGCCAAAAAGCCCCTTCCAGGCGACTACTCGATTGCGACTGGGTGATCGACCATCGGCGCCAGGCAGAGTAGATGATACTCGACGCAAAATATACCCCGCGCAAAGGCTGTATCCCGGAACCCCCGGAACGTATCAAAAACACGTTGTGTGAATACAATCTTCTCGTCCTGCTCCTCCCCCTGTGGTCGTGTCCCTGCGGGGCTGGCGTGGCGGAGGGTGCCGGTGACCCCCCGTCACTCCCCTGTGTGGGTGTTGGGTGTCTCGTCTTTTGTCGTCGTCTTCGTCGTCGTCGTCGCCGTCGTCGCCGTCGTCGGTGGCCGTCGTTCGTCGGTCGTCGGTCGTCGGTCGTCGTCGTGGTCGTCGTGGTCGTCGCCGTCGTCGTTTTCGCCCTCGTTGCCGTCGTCGCCGCCGCTACCCCCCCCAGTGTACAGTCCACCCGCACAGTGAGGATTAACGAGCTTCCAAAGTTACCCCTGCATCCTTTCTCTTCGACGGCCCATCCGTGGCCGCCTTCGCTGGTCGCGCCCCGCTCGCAAAGTGCCGACATGGCCTCCCAAGGCCCTTGCATCCTTCTCGTGCGTCTTTATTCTACGGGTTGGCCGTACCCTCACTCCGCCCCCGGACCCTCCCTGGACCGGTCGCTTCTGGTCCTCTTCGCACCCCCCCGGGCGGCGCAGCAGCCGCAGCGGTACTACGAGATCGTCCTGCGCGGCCATCCCTTCAAGGCGAGCCCCGGCCGCGGCCCGCATGGCCTCTGCTCTGGGGTGGGCGCGAGAATCTTGTAGCGCCGCCTGAGGGGTATGTCGATGAAGAGGGGGAGGAAGAGGAGGAGGAGGAGGAGGAGGAGGAGGAGGAGGAGGAGGAGGGGGAGGAGGAGGGGAGAGGAGGAGGAGGAGGAGAAGAGGAGGAGGGGAGGAGAGGAGGAGGACAGGAGGAGGAGGAGGAGGAGGAGAAGCAGGAACAGGAGGAGGAGGAGGAGGAGGAGAAGGAGGAGGAGGAGGAGGAGGAGAAGCAGGAGGAGGAGGAGGAGAAAGAGGAGGAGGAAGAAGATTCGGGCTAATAGGTCCTCTGCAAAGGGGGTCTCAAAAATATACGCAATAGTTCGTGTAATCGTTCGTGCTGGATACGCACGTTGTGCAATTTCAGGACGTGGTTGCCATGAGACATGCGCCACAGGATGAACTATTGTTTTTTGTGACCACATTGCGGAAGACCCACGTTGCCCAGAACCAGCGGAGGAGGGAAGAGGAACACGACCCTGAGATCCGGGGACCTTGCAATTTGTTTCACAGCGGGCGTGTTCGCTCAGTCCCGGGCACTGGGACCATTACGGATCGATACGGGTTGAAAAATTGCAGCCGAAAGGATGGGTCCAGGGCTTCGCTCGTGATTTGTCGCGATGTTGTAATTTGTGCGTAACGTGGGATCCCGGGGAAGATGAGAGGGAGGAGGGAGGGGAGGATGAGTAGGTGGAGGAGTAGTCGGAGAAGGAGAAGGGTGATGAGGAGGATGAGAGAGATGAGATGCGTGACCTCAGTATTGTGATAGTGCAGAGCTGAAAACCTGCACGTGAAGCGGAGCGGTGGCGACGACGAAGACGGGGAGGTGGAGGAGAAGGTGGAGGAGTAGGCGGAGGAGGAGGAGGAAGAGGGAGACGACACACAGAAGACGGGGGATGGTGGATGGTGAGGGGGGGAGTAACCAGGGAGTAAGGCGTCAGGGTGGACGGGAAGGAAGGAAGGTCGCGGGGGCACAGCAGGGCAGGGCAAGAAGCTAGCCATTGTTTTCAAGCGGGGCAGGCGGTCATTCTGTTCGAAGGCCAGGCAACCAAGGCGTAGCTGGTGGCAAATGCCGTAGTGGTATTGAAGCAGTCGGTGTCGTAGTAGTGGTGGGTTGTAGTCACAGTTCTGGCAGCCGAGCTCAGTAAGAGCCCCGAGAATCCCGAGGACTGCCGCGCAGTCATTCGATCCCCTCCCTGGGTGAAGCGAGTGACGATCGAGAAGGAGCTTGGGGTGGATGACGAGGAGAAGGACGAGGACGAGGACGAGGAAGAGGAAGAGGAGCATGATGAGCAGGTTGAGCGGGAGGAGGGTTGAGGAGGAGGAGGAGGAGAAGGAGGAGGAGGGTGAGGCGGAGGATGAGTAAGCCGAGTAGGAGGAGGAAGGACGAGGCGGACGATAAGGAGGGGGATCAAACATAGTAAATAGATGAGGGGCAGGAGGAGGCGGACGAGGAGGAGGAGGAGGAGGATGAGGCCAGTTACCACCCTCCGAGAGCGGGACTCCGTGCCCATGCCCACCAGGTAAAGTGGTGCAGCACCTGCAACATCTACCGCCCCCCTCGCTGCACGCACTGTGCCTCCGTCCGATTCGCAATAGTTATGCCGATGACGCTGCTGACTCTACGACGACGATCACGGCGACGACGGCGCTGACGGTGGTACGTAGGATGTTGATGCTGATAGCGGTGATGATGCTTCTGCTGCTGCTGATGATGCTGGTGGTAATTATGGGTGATCTTGGATTGAGGAAGGGGAGGTGGAGGAGGAAGCAGAGGAGCAGGAGGACGAGTAATGGGTGTTTCGTACGATGATGAAGGGGATGTGGAGGAGGAGGAGGAGGAGGAGGAGGACGAGGGAGAGAAGAAGAGGGCTGGCGCCCTGCTTCACGGGCCTGACGTTCTCTGATTTTGCCAGCCTGCCAGGCAAAGGTGGCGCCGAGCCAACTGCTGTGATGATCCTTGCGCCCTGCCTCCCCCAGCTCTCACCCCTCTCCCTCGTGGTCTTCCCTCTCGTCCTCCTTCCTCGTTCTCGTGCGACCAAGCGGTTAAGAAATGCCCAGGGGGTCGCCTGGCGGTGCAAGCTGCCAGCTGCTTCGTCGCACCGCATTCTTACAGTGGACACCCATGCCAAGAAACACCTGCTGCTCATTTCTTCTTCTCCTCCTCCTCCTCCTCCTCCTCCTCCTCCTCCTCCTCCTCCTCCTCCTCCTCCTCCTCCTCCTCCTCCTCCTCCCCCTCTCGCCTCTTGCCCATGCCCCTCGTCTTTCCCCTCAAACTCCACGCCCGAAGGTTGACAGCCAGAAATCGGACGAATCTGTGTTAGAAGGATGGGTGACACCTGAGGTCAGGACGTGATTGCAGTGGAGACCCATGCCAAGAAACACCCTGTTCGCCTCCAGGGTGCCCTGGGTTTCGCGGGTTTCGATGTTTTTTTTGTTATGGAGAGCGTGGCGTTCCCACACCAAAAATTATCGGACGTCCTGGGGCCTCAGGGTTGGGTTTTTTGTGGAAGGTTTCTTGTGGACTGGCCTCCACTGTACGTTGCACCTTCGGGGGACCTCGCCTGTCCCCCAAGTTGGTGTCTTTTTTTGTGCCCGGCGCGGGTTCGATGCGGACTCGACTCGGAATGGGCGTGGATTCGACGCAGGTTCGACACGGATTCGACACGGGTCCGACGGGTCCGACATGGATTCGACACGGATTCGACGCGGATGGGGCCGACGGATTCGACACGGATTCGACGCGGATGGTCCCCCGAGGATGCTGCATAACGCTTCTCGTGAAGGCGTTCGGCTTCTACGAGCCGCGGAGGGGCTCGTGAGAGCCGCAGTCGCAGCGCCGGGCGCGCTGGCAGCGGTGACCGCGCCCGCGTGGGCGGTGGCTGTAGCGGCTCCTCGGGGGCGCCGCACGCCTCGCGGGCGCGGCGGCGTGGGAGGCGCTGGGCCCCTCCCGGAGGCGCTCGCGGACGGCGGCGGCGGCGCCTCGCAGCCCGAGCCGGGTGGTGGTGGGCGACGGCGAGGCGGTTGCCGACGCGCCGAGGGGGAGGTTTTGGCCAGGCGGCGGTTTGCTGGCGCAGGCGCCGACGCGGCCGAGCAGCGCGGCGCTGGCACGCGCGACGGCTCTGGGGCCGACGGCCTGCGGGAGGCGGTGGGTGCTTACTCCAGATTTCGTAATGAAGTGGGAGGGGGTCACATTTGGGGGGGGGGTCTGACTTGAGCTGTCTCGGAGGGTTCGGGGGGGTCTGGGCGAAGAGCCGCCCTTTCATGGATGGTCTGGAGGGGTCTAAAACTTTTCGTCTGGGAGGGTTGTGGACCCCTCCCTTTTACTAAGAAATCTGGAGTACCTAGGGCCAGGTGGAGGGACGACGGGCGACCGCGTGCGCATCGCGACGAGTCAGAACGCTGGGCGCGTCGGCATCGTCACTGGTGCAGGGAGTGCGATTGTCTGCGTTCGTCTCGACGGCGCTGGGCGGCGTGGCTGCTCACGATTCCCGCGACAGCGTCGAGAGGGAGACCGCGAAGCTGCGGCGCGCAGTGCGTTCGCCGCGGCAGCGGGGACGGCGGGTCGTTGTGGCCATCCTCGGGGAGGTCCTGGCGTTCCGCCCGAGACTTCCTCGCAATGCGGCTACACAAATGGCGACACGTTTTTAACGTGTGGCTCTCTCCGTAACGTCGGGCACATGCGTGGTAAATGCTTCCAGCGCTCACTGGGTAGATGGCAGCCAGCTGCCAAAATGTGGCTCTCGCCGGAAGTTCGGGTACATTCGTCGTCAACGCTTCGACTGGTTACGCGAATAGAGGGCGGTACCCCACAGGACTGTTACTCTTGCTTGAGACGTGTATTACTCTTACTTCAAGTTCTATGCTCGTATCGCTTGGCAGTTCTAGCAGTGTACATTGTTCGAGGGTCGTACTTTTCATTATGCGGCTTTCGCCTCACATTTCCGAAGTTTTTCTTGCTATGAAGCGTGCAGCCACGGGCGTTTCACATTGGAGGGCGGCCCCTTTTTCAAATCCGATTCGCTTGAGGCGTTTAGACTGCATGGCCCTGAATTTTAAGATGCAACAGACAGTTCCAGGGATGAAAGACGATTTTCGTTCAAAGTCGAGCTCTCGCATAAAATTACCCCAGAGCGTATGATCATGAGGCTTGATGTTCTAGCAGCTGTACGGGGGGATATTTCTGATATGCTGTACATTCGAGCTCTCGCTGCGTTGCGTCCATGTGAATGAACACATCTACCAGCTATATGGATGGTGGTCGATTACCTCTCAGCCTCAGTGTGTGTTGTAGCGTTATGGGCTCGGATCTCCATAATATTGTTCAGGCGCGCGCCGTCATCATCACCATCATCTTAATTCATCAGTAGCATCATTGTCACTATCGCCACCATCATCGTCACCGTACACTCCATCATCGCCGCACGCAGCATCAGCATCAGCACCAACATCATCATCATCATCACCATCATCATGATGATGATCATCATCATCATCAGCATCCCCATCATCATCATCATCATCATCACCACCACCACCATCCTCATCACCAACATCACCAGCAGCAGCTTCATCAGCGTAATCATCATCAACACCACCGTCACCATTATCATTACCAACGTGAGCGCCATCATCATTCGTATCATAGCCACCATCTTCATCGGCATCGGCATCGCCATCGTCATGGCCATCATCATCAGCATCATCATCATCATCGTCGTTGTCGTCGTCACCATCATCATCATCATCATCATCATCATCATCATCATCATCATCATCATCATCATCATCATCATCATCATTATCATTATCATTATCATCATCATCATCATCAGCATCAGCATCAGCATCAGCATCAGCATCAGCATCATCATCATCAGCATCATCATCATCATCATCATCATCATCATCATTAGCATTATCGTTATCGCCATCGTCAGTGGTGTGTACGCCTGCGGCTGTAAATTACTTCGACGGTATGAACCACATTATGTTTAGCTTGCCATTCGCCCCTTCCTCCGCGCACTGGCGGACACCCTCCTCTCGCCCTCTGCTTTGCCCTCTCCTCTTCTTCTTCCTTCCATTTATCATCCGCCTCCTCCTCCGCCTCCTCCTTCACCTCGTCCTCATAATCAGCCTCCCTCTGCCCCTTCCCCCTCCTCTTCTCCTGCCCCTTTTCCATGTGCACCTCCCCTTTTCCCTTGTCGGGGCAAGCAGGTTGATTTTCCTCGGCGCCGTCGCCGCCTCGGCGAACACGCGCGCGTTCGCCGACGTCTAGATCGCGAAGCCTTTGGGGCAATCCCGCGGGTCATGCCTTTGGGAAAACCCCGCGGGCTGCTGGGGCGCGGGGGCAGGCCGTCGGGACAACCCCGCGGGCCTCGAGGTGGGCGCGGCCGCGCTCAGGCGGGGGGCTGCGCGAAGCCCAGCCGTGCTGCGAGCTGCTCCGCCTCGGTTCTGGAGCTCTTCGCTTTCTCGTCGAAGGGCGCCTTCCGCAGGGACGCCGGCGGCCCGCGCTCCAGGAACTCTTCGCGTGGGCCGCCGCAGGATCAGCATGTTCCGCATGCTCGAGACGCGGGATAACATGACGCAGAGGTGCAGCCACCACTGCTCTTCCGACATGCCTGCGCGACCGGCGTCCTCATCCCTGGCGCAGTCCATGGTGACGCCCTTGCGCAGTGTCTGGCCGTGCGACAGCGTGGAGGTCAGCTACGACGCGTGCGTCAGGGTGAACCCCGAGCGGCGCACGACGTGCGGCCTCGAGTTCTGTCAGGTGAACTGCTGCTCGCTGGGTCTGCGCATCAGCGAGCCCCCCGCCCGCGCCTCGGCCTCGCCGTCGTTGTCGTCAGCGCCTTCGGCGCCCCGTAGCAGCACCTCGGCGACCTCCTGGTCGATCGGGGAGTCCGTGAAGCCGTGCGCCTGCAGCCAGATTCCGTGCGGCAGGTAGCGGGGGCGAAAGAGTTGTTCCAGCTCGTACTCCCGCTCGTCGTGTGGGTGAAAGTGGCGCGAAACGATGATGGTTCCCGCCTGGGATTTCCGCGCAATGCACCCACCGATGAAGCTCACGCCTGAAGCTCTTTTCAAAATTCAGGCGCGGGGGGCCTTACATTGACGACCTTTACAGGATTTGGATGATTCGCTCGGATTACCAACGTGAAATGCGGGCTCCATGGGGAGGGGGCTCCCGCCTGAGACTCCTCCCGCAATTCATCCAGAAACGAGGACCCCGCCTGAAGCTTCTTCAGCATTCAGGCGCGAGGGGCCCAACAATGGCAACAATTGCAGGATTTTGATGGCCCGCTCCGATGAATATGTGAGTTGGTTTGTGTATGAGCGCGCACGCGTGTGGGAGTGATGCCGATGATGATGGTGAGGATGATAAGGGGGTGAATAATCATGATGTTGGTGGGTTATTGCTCCTGTTCTTGCGTTGGGGGTCCAAAAAACATATTATACACATTTAGTGCTTGGGGTAAAACATCATCGCCATCGCCATCGCCATCGTCACCATCACTCGGATGATAACCGTCATAGCCATGGTCATTGTCTTCATCATCAGTAGCACCCCCCTTTTCATGCTGATCATCATCATCATGCCTACCATCGCCATTTAACTGCATCATGCCCCAACCCTCATCATAGTCACTATCACATTGCTCTGCACCATCATAAGCATCACCATCATCGTATGCGCACACCATCACCGCCGTAAACACCATCGTCATCATGGCCACCGTGATCATCAACGCCACCATCATTACCTGCATGATCACCATCATCACCATCATTCCCATCACCAGCGCCACCATCATCATCATCATCATCATCATCATCATCACCCGTAACATCTTCATCGCTGTGCACGCCGCCGCCGTGGTAGTCCTTGTTGCCCTCATCATCGTTCCCACCATCAACGTCATCACCACCATCATCATCACCGCCATCGTCACCGTCGTCGTCATCATCACGACCGGTAGCATGTTCATCATCATCCTCATCGTTCGCATCATCGGCATCATGCTCATCAGCATCGTCACCAGTATCAGTGCCATCATCACCACCACCACTTTCATCATCGCGATCACCGCCATCATCATGATCATCACCATCATGGTCGTCGTCGCCTTCGTCATCATCACCATCATCGTCGTCATCATCACCATAGTCATCACCATCATACTCGTCATCACCATCACAACCATCATGATGATGATGATCATCATCCGCATCGCCATTATCATCGGCATCAACACGCTGCCATCATCACCACCATTGCCGTTATCGTCGTCATCGTCATCATCACCATCATCATCACCATCACCATCACCATCACCATCACCATCACCATCACCATCATAATCATAATCATCATCATCATCATCATCATCATCATCATCATCATCATCATCACCATCATCATCATCATCATCATCATCATCATACTTATTATCACCATATCATCAGCTCATAGTCACCAGCAGCACCATCGGCATCGCCGTCGACATCGTCATTGTCATCGTCATCATCAACGTCATCGTCCTCGCCATCGTGATAGTTTCGTTGACGCACGCCTAAAACACGAAGGTTTGTCACGATGCATGTCTACGGGGCCCCAACCTTTCGAGCGGGAGCTCGCCGCTGTGAGGGGAGTTTTCTGGGTTTGGTTACGTCCGATACGCTGAGCTATGGATCCTTCTAGGCTCAAGAGGGTCTCGTGTTTTTCGGGCCGCTCCTCCTCAGGCCAGGTCAGGGATGTATTCGCTCGCCGTGACGTCAATCTATGATGGGAGGGCTCGTTCCTTCCTGTAGCCAATCACTTCCTGACCTCAGGTGTCACAAATCCTTCCAATCCAGATTCGTCCGATTTCTGGCTGTCAACATTCAGGTGTGGAGCTTGAGGGGGAAGATGAGGGGGCGGGGCAAGAGGAGGGGGAGGAGGAGGAGGAGGGGGAGGAGGAGGAGGAGGAGGAGGAGGAGGAGGAGGAGGAGGAGGAGGAATAAGCAGGATGTGTGACACGTCCAGTCCCGACCAGTCGATCCCATACTGCCAGCCTGCAGCATTCGCTCGATGAGCCTGGTGCACTCTTCCAGATTCTTTTCGCGTCTCTCCTCCTCGCCCTCGGCTCGTCTTCTCCTCCATTTTCTACTCCCTGCTCCCTGCTCTCTACTCCTCTGTCCTTCGTCCGTCCTCCGCGAGCTTCTCCCGGGGTGAGTCCTGGCCATCACTCGGACCATAATTTCGACGGCAGGCATCGGGGAGACCCAGCAAGGACGAACGACGTCCAGAACCTTCGAACATCGAAATTCGAACTCTCTCCTTCGTCCTCCCTCCTCTATCCTCAATCCTCCTCGTGATCCTCTTCCTCCTGCCGCTCCTCTCGTGCTTTCCTGCCCCTCCTCCCTGCAGCCTCCCTGGAAAAGTCATGCAACCTTCGCAGGTCGTGCCGAAGAGTCGCCTGGGGGACCTTCCGGGGCGGGGCTCGAGCTAAACAGTGTTTCAGCGATCTCGTGGACCGTTTGCGTTTGACTCCGTTTCGCAGCAAAGACAGAACGAGGCCAGAACGAGGGAGATTGAAAACATAACGAACACGAAAATCACTGTTTAGCTCCAGCCCTGGTGTGGGAGATTTCCCTGGGGTTGGTCTCTCATCCCGGGGCCCGAGGATTCAGGCGATTGCAAACATGGATCAAGGGGGCGTGGAATAGCGACGGGTCCCGTTTCCAAGGGAAATCGCGGATTTCCGCCGCCGAACGAGGCGGCACCGGCCGCATCTTGGGGAGGGCACCTCCCCCGATCCATGGATTTGGCGGCCGCGCGCCAAATCGATGGATCGCTAATCCATGTTTGCGCGCCCCCGAGATGGCACCTGGAGGCCAAACACGATCGAGGACGACTAAAACAAAGAAACCGACGATTGAGGCTGCATCCCTTCTGCAGGGCCGTGTGGCGGCGGCCAGGTTCCGTGTGCGAGAATTGCATCGAGCGGTTCGACCACCACTGCCCCTGGATCGGGAACTGCATCGGCAGGCCCCCAGCCTCCTGGGCGCCGCAGGGTGGGGGAACCCTCCCCTCCCTCCCTCCCTCCTTTCTCAATCCGCCATCCTCATCCTCATCACAATCATCACCATCATCACCATCACCATTACCATCACCATCACCATCATCATCATCATCATCATCATCATCATCATCATCATCATCATCATCATCATCATCATCATCATCATCATCATCATCATCATCATCATCATGGTAACAACTTTAGTGTGGAGTGTGCTGGGACAGGGTTTCAGTGGCCGCACATCTGTAAATGTTTGTGCTCAAGCTTTCGAGGGGCAGGCTAGCCGCCGCTACGCGTTTCCTTTCGGATCTCTCGCGCGGCGCCTCGCAGGTCCTGTTGGTGTGGTCGGCTACGCCCTCATCGTCTCCCGCGTGCCCCGCCTGTTCGCGCTAGTGCTCCCAGGCGTACAGCGTCTCCTGCCCGCACCTCGACGGGCCCCCCCCCGCGCTGCAGGTCTTGACGGGCTGGTGCAGCCACACCGTGTTCTTCTGCCTCGGGCCGCTGGTGGGCGTCTTCGTGGTGCCCGCGCTCTGGAGCTGGAGGTCGCAGGCTGCGGGTGTGAGAGCCTCAGTCCCCTCGGAGGCGGTCAGGGCGGGCACAGAGGGCTTGGCGCCGTTCGGTCGTGCAGCTTCGCCTGTTGGTTTCACCATTCAGAATGTCACGGCCAGGTGATGTGCACGCCTCTCGATATCGTGTGGGAGGACCCGCAGTGTATCATGAGCGTATTACGTTGCTGGACTGCCTCGTGCACCCGACTGTGCGCGACTCGGTTGGGCGGTGGGCGCTGGTCTTCGCCACGGCGACCCTGCTGGCCTCCTCCATGCCCCAGGCGGACGGGCCGATCATTGTTTCTCGGACGACGCAGTGGTGCCTCGACGAATTGAGGCACGGCGCGAGCGGCCCGCTGGCGTGGCACTCCAAGTGGAAGGCGGAGGCAAGGCTGCGCGACACGGATTCGATCGGCCAGCATTACGAGATGAACGGCAGGCTGCCCGAGCTAGGCAGTTGCTACGACCAGGTTGACTACACGGAGTTTGTGTCGTACGAGCTGATCTGCCGCCAGAGCCCGCTCATCGAGGGGCGGCATTACGAGGGCACCGTCACCGCGCAGGTGGCCGCGGAGGACAAGCAGGCGGGGAAGGACAATAGCGCCAAAGTTGCCAGCGAGAGCTTGCTGGTGGTGGAGGTGGACCGCTACAGGGGGGTGTCGGCGAGCCAGGGCCACCAGTGCATCGCGACGGCCCTCACGGACTTCGTCGTCGACCATCTGAGGGCGGGCGCCGCCATCGCCAAGGAGAGGCGCAAAGCCCGCGAGGAGCGGGTGGCGCGCGTATAGCCTTTCGAGAGCTTCTCCCAGGCGGGTGCAGGCGCTTCGGTGCCGCCTGGGCGAGTCCTGCTTTTTCGTGGGGGTTACGCCTCCACCAGGTTTGTCACGATGGACCTTGGAGTTCGTCAGCGCGATGTGTTCCCCCTCCCAGCTCTGGCGGTGGACGCTCGTGTGGAAGCTTGCCGCAGCCGTCGGGGGCGCCAGCGCGCCCAGCGCGGTGCTGCTTGGCGGAGATGGGCTAGCGACGGCATCGCAGCCCTGAACCAGCTGAGCTGCCATTTCTCGCCTGCGTGTGCCCCGCCTGGGTTGACGGCCTCGGCAGCGCAGGCGAGTGCGATGGATCACATCTCTCGGGCCTATCAAGATTTTCCGCTTCCTCCTGGATATCATGGGGATGCTCATTCGGGCGAAGCAGCCTTGGCAGAGCTGCTCGCGTCGGCGCCTGGGTGCTCCTCTGATTCCCAGCGCGTCAAGCCCTACGGCAAGGACCTGGTGTCCTGGCCTGATCTTTCGACGGCTCCAGTTGAGGCCGCTGATCTCGTCGGGGAGGCCGAGCGCGAATGTTTGTCGGGATGGAGACGGACCATGCTCAAGGGTGGGTCGTCTGCTTCAGATCTGAGTGCGGCTTCGGTGCCGCAGCGTCCTTGCGTCGACCCGATTTTGGACAACAGCCCCAGGGCCTACGCCGACTTCGTGGGGGAGTTGCTGCATGGCGGTATGATCTCTCTCCGAGTGGCGCGGGCTGGTGATCCTTATAGCTTGTTTTTTTCTTTGTCGAGAAGGTTGGCAAGGGCGCGCTTCGCCTCGTCTTCGACACGAGGGTGGCGAACGAGGGTTTCGCGGCGCCGCCCAAGCCCACGCTCCCCACGGCGGCGGCGCGGGCCGCCCTGGAGTCGGACCACCCCGCGGTGCTGGCCCAGGGCGACATCCAGTGCGCCTTCTACCACATGCTCGTGCCAAAGGGCATGGGGGGGCTGTTTACGTTGCCCACCATCTCCAATCGCTTGCCCAATGCCAAACAGCTCGACGGCCTCCCCATCCCTTCGGACTGCTTCCTCCAGCCGATGGTGCGCGCCCTGCCGGTGGGCTGGGGCTGGTCGCTGCTGTTCTGCCAGGGCATCATGAGGAGGGCGCTCGTCCATTGCGGGTTCGGCGACGGTGATCTCATCGAGGATGGTCGCCCGAGCCCCGTCCTCTCTGCCGAGGCCAGCGTGGCAGCTGCGGGCTACGTCGGTAACTTTCGCCATCGTGGGGGGGCGACCCCATCGCCGTCACCGCCGAGAGGGATGAGGTGACTCGCGCGCTGGAGGCTTGGGGGCTACCTGTGCACTCGCTCGACACCGCCTCGGCCGTATCCGTCTTCACGGGGCTCGAGATCAATGGCGACCTTGGGACCGTGAGGGTAAAGTCTGCTAGCGTGATGCGCCTTCGGCAGGCGTTGCTGGCGGTCTTGCGGCGAGGCGCCGCCTCGCCTCGCATGCTCGAAGTCCTTCTGGGCCACATCGCGTGGGCGATGATCTGTAAAAGAGAGACCCTCTGCATCCTGTCGTCTATCTACGCATTTAAGTCCCAGAATGACCCTGGAGTCAGGCCCCTGTGGGCCCCGTGAAGTTCGAGCTTTGGTGTGTGGCTAGTGCGTTACCCCCATGGACTTCGCGCATGCACATCCCTGGGGCTCCCGCGTCTCTGCCTCGGACGCATCTCCTATCGGTGTGGGCGTGTGTACTCGCAAGGAGGTCGGGCCTCGGGTGGCCGAACTTGGGAGGCAGGCGGGGAGGTGAAGATATCGTTGTACCTCGGCGGTTTCGGCACGGTCGAATGCGCTGGGTCTCGGAGGGGCCCCCGACGACTTCGACCTCATCGAGGGGTTCTTGGACTCGAGCCCTGAAGGCTTCTGCAAGGTCTTCAACGAGATCCCCGAGGAGCTCATGCATGCAGGTCTCGTCGTGGGTCGCCGTGATCTCCAGGAGGCACTGGAACCCGTCCAAGAACATTTTTCGATCACGAGGGTGACGCGCTGTGCGACGCAGTTCGGCACGCCACCCGCAGCGTTTCGCGTCATCACCATCGCCTTTTGTTTCTCGTTGATAATTTACCTTTGGCTCTGGCGGCTGGCAAGGGTCGGGGCCGCAAGCCTGCCCTTCGGCGGCCCTTGCGGGGGATCGCCGCGCTCGCGCTGGCCACCAACCTTCGGTGCTATGTGCGGTGGATGCCTTCTGAGCTGAACGTTGCGGACGGGCCATCTCGTCATGGTTTCTTCCACGGCAAAAGCTTCGAGGAGGCGCGCCTCTCCCTGGCTGATCGCTCACAGACTGCTGCTCCCATCGCAGCGGCTCAGTCGGCGGTTCGCCCTCGGGCCGAGGTGTGTGTGTGTGTCGTGTGTGTGTGTGTGTGTGTGTGTGTGTGTGTGTGTGTGTGTGTGTGTGTGTGTGTGGGTGTGTGTGTGTGTGGGGGGGGGGGGGGGGGGTGGGGGGTGGGGGGGGGGGGGGGGGGGGTGGGGTGGGGTGTGGTGTGGGGGGGGGGGGGGTGGGGGGGGGGGGGGGCTTCAGCTTCCTCGAGAACGCAGCGGGGTCGGACCCTACTCGGGCTCGGTGCCGCTGCCACGCCCTGCGCTTCCTGGACTGGTCGGGCTGGCTCGAGCTGAACCTCACCGCCGCCAGCCAGCTGGACAGCGTCCTCGCGTGCTTCCTGACGGACTTGGCCCTGTGCGGTTTCGACGCAGCGACGGGGGGGATGGCGGTCGCGGCGCTGCGCCACTTCCTGACGCACATCCTAGTCGGGAAGCGGCCGCTCCCGCGGTCGGCGCGAGCCCTCGATGGGTGGCGCCGCCTGGGTTCGCGGCTGCTGCGCCTGCCTCTCCCTCGCTCGGACGCGGTGGCAGTCGCAGGCTGGCCCATTTGGGTGAACCTGCCCAGCATGGCGATCTTCGTGGCGCTGGTCTCCCCCGCGTACCTCAGGCCGTCGAAGACCTACAGGCTGCGCGTGGGCTCGCTGGTGCCGCCGATCGCAGGGGCGGGCTTCAGCGCGTGGGGCATCATCGTGAACGGCGCGAAGTCAGGCCGCCCTGCCCAGACGGGGGTGATGGACGAGTCGGAGCTGGGCGACGCCCCCGAGCTCTGGCCCGCGCTGCACGCGCTGACGCTCAACGCGCCCGCGAACGCCAGCCTCTGGAACCTCGGGCCCGCCGTCGAGCGCGCGATGTTCCGCCAGGCCTTGTGCGAGCGGGGCTGCAGATGGAGCCTCCGCCTTTGTGCACCCTCCGTCATGTGGGGGTCTCGCGCGACTGGCTCTTGGATGCTCATGCGATAGCGGAGGCCAAAGAGAGGGGGAGACGGATATCAGACAAATCGTTGACGGGGTACGGCAAGAGGACTCGCATGCGGCAGCGGGTCAGGGACCTCCCGCCCCGGATCGCCGAGTTCGGCGAGCAGGTGTTCGCGAGGCTCTCGGAGCTGATCGAGGTCGGGTTCATGGAGGGCAGCTTCCCGCTGCCAGTGCCGCTCCAGCGGGGCGTGCAGCGGGCGCCCGTTCTGTCCAGAAAGTAGGTTCGCGCATGCGCGCTGCCTTCCGACGTGCCTTTGTGTGGGCGTCCCGTCGCCGTCGGCTAGTTTTGCCAGTGGTTGGGCCCCGCGGGGCCCCCATTTGCAAAGCTTTGTGCCGTCGCGGTTTGGGTTGTCCCTCGCTCGGTGCAGGTTGAAATGTGGGCCTTGCGCTGTGCGGGCAGGGCGTCGTCGATCGACTCCTTGGGTGGATTCGTTCGTCGGCGGTCTGTGTTTGCTGGCTCTCTTGGCCGCGCGGGTCCTGGATCGAGTCGGGGCCCCCGCCTGTCCGCGCTGTGTCTGACCCTTGGGGTCGGGCCGCGCCCCTGCTAGCCTGCGGGTGCAGCTCCCGACGTTTGTAACAGACAATGTCGAGATGCGCGCATCCCTCAGAGTCATTCGTGCCTGTATCGATTTATCTGTACCTGTCTGTCTTGAGCACCCGCGTGCCAGCATCATTTTTGCGGTGCCTGAGTTTCGGACTCTAGTCAGTCTCCCGTCCTTTCTTCAAGTTGACCTGGACCTCTGCCAATTCGGAGCGGCAGCCCGCTCGGCCACGCGAGTGTTCTGCTGGCGCTGTCCTCAGCTCCAGCGCCTCAGCGTTTGTTGCAGTCTGCGTGGCAAAGTGTGCTCGGGATCGGGGCGACCTCATTTACAATTCGACGGCCGCACGGCCAGAGGCGTGGCTTGCCGACGCACAGCTGCGCGCTTCCCCGTCCGAGCTGCAGCGCTGGTGGCCGACTCCCTCGTTGAAGCTATATATGACCTGTCTCGGTCCAGGATGTATGGTCTCTGTGGCCTTCGGCCATGATGTAGTGTTACACAGTGTACGTCTGTGCTGCCTGCAGTGTCTGTCGCCACTCGTGGTCGTGATGCAGCGCTTCTTGCCATCGCCACCGTCAGCTTTTCTAAAATGGAACGCTATGGCCACGGCGACCCTCCTCGGCATGGTAACAACTTTAGTGTGGAGTGTGCTGGGGCAGGGTTTCAGTGGCCGCACATCTGTAAATGTTTGTGCTCAAGCTCCTAAGCCCACCCGCCCTCGCTTGAGGGTTTAATTTCGCAATCGACGTCTGTGCTGCCTGCAGTGTCTGTCGCCACTCGTGGTCGTGATGCAGCGCTTCTTCCCATCGCCACCGTCAGCTTTTCTACAAAGGAACGCTATGGCCACGGCGACCCTCCTCGGCATCATCATCATCATCATCATCATCAGCACCGTCATCATCGTCATCATCATCATCATCATCATCACCATCATCTTCATCATCACCATCATCATCACCACCACCATCACCATCATCATCATCATGCTCCTCTTATTCTCTGCGACTCTCCCCCCGCGGTCTCTGCAGTGATTTCGGCCCCGCCGCGTCGGCGCGCGGCCCCCCGCCCGATCGCGGCCGGCGCGGCCCGCGCGCCATGGGGGCTGAAATCCGGCCCGCGACGCGCAGGTCTTCCTGGACTCGTTCGCGGTGGCCGTGGCCTGCGAGGACCCGCGTGGGTTCAGATTCGGGCGGGGGTCGCTCCACCCCGCCCGTCTCGAGCCTGCGGTGGGATCGGCTGCCCCCCCTGGCGGGCGGTTGTTTGTGAGCAGGGGGGCGCCCGCCCCCCCGGCCGCAGGCGATCGTTGCCGCGTCCGCGGCGGCGGTTGCCTGAGAGCTTGGCTTCCCGAGCCCTGCTCTTCGGGCCCCGCCCGTCGGCCCTGCCCCCGGCAGGGCAGGCGGGCCTGCCCGTTTGCTGGATGCTGCCGCGCGCCCCGCGCTTCTGCGGTCCTCCATTGGAGGCCTTTCGCTCGTCCGAGCGGCGCTGGCTCTCGTGCCCCAATCTGTAAGTGGTCTGGCTTCCGATGGCGCCGGCCTCACTCTTGCCGTTGCAAAACTCTCTTCCTCCCCCCGCCTTCCCCCCCTTCGCTTTCGGGGCGGCGGGGCTGGAGGCTTTCTTCTGGGGGCGAGGAGGAAGGCGAGGAACTCGCGCGCCGATGCGCTACTCCGAGCACCGTGGCGCGCTGCTGGCCGAGGCCTCTGAGAGTGGGCGGCGGCTTCGAAGACCCCGATTTCCAAGCCGAAGGCGGAGGCGCAACCGATGCCGAAGCCCAAAGGCCCGGATCCGCCCCCAGGCCAAGGCGGGCGCCGAGGCGCCGTGAGGCCGAGGGGCCGCCCCTTCGCGGGCGGCCCGCGGGGCTCTGCCCCCCCCCCCCCCGTCAGCCCGTTCCGCTGACGGTTGTCTGGGCGCAATGGGCCCGAGAGCGGGCCCCGGGAGGCCCCGGGAGGCACCTTTTCCTTGTGTTGGGATGTGCTCGGGAAGTGCGTTTCGGCCCCCCTTGGGCTTCGCCATCATAGGCTTCGCCCCCATCGGCTTCACCGTCCCTCTCCCAGGGCTTGAATCTGTCGTGCTCAACGTACAGTTCTATATCTAGCCCGTCTCTTGGGGTTCGAACCCTTGTTGTGTTTTACGCATGTACCTACATATATGTTGCCCCATCGACTGGGGCTCGAATCTGGTGTTTTACGTATGTTCCCATCTGTTCCGTTCGATTGGGGCCCAAATACTTCGCCCTTCTGGTATGCTCCTACATGTGCCCCTTTCTACGGGTTCGAATCCTTAGCGTTTTGAATCCTCATCGCTCCCCATTGTCGCATTGTTTTGTTGTTTCATGCGAGCTGAAAGTGAGAATGTGCCTCAGGAGAGGTGTTGGCTCGACCTCCTTGGGCGGGAGATTTGTGTGTGTGTGTGTGTGTGTGTGTGTGTGGGAATATCGCACCTTTTGCATTTGCCGAGGAGGCGGAGGAGGAGGCGGAGGAGGAGGAAGAGGAGGAGAAGGAGGAGGAGGGTAATTGGGAGAACGGAAAACTAGAAGGGAATGGGATGTCGGGGTGGGGGGGGGGGAACAGGTGGGATGGCGGGGGGAAAAAAACAGGAGAGATGTAGGAGGAGAGCTGGGGGAGCAGGGCGTAGGGCGTATCCTGAGATCCGACGTTGCGAAAAAGTTGACGACATCGCGAACCATGAAGGCTGGAACCCCAGACCTCATCTGTCTGCTGAATGCTTCGAGCCAGGCCGGTTCGTGATGGTCCTGGGGCCCGCAGCTGGGCGAAACCGCCCGGTGTGAGGAATTTGCAGCGCCCGGACCTCGGACGCAGGAGCCTGTTTTTCTTTAGATCCAGGCAAGCTTACTTGCATGGCGTTGGCCCCCCTCCCCCCCCCCTCTCCCCCCTCGCCCCTCTTCAATCGAACACGAGCGTGCAAGTGCCTTTCGACTTGCGTGATTTCCGCACGTCGAATTGTTTTCGGCTTGCTTCAGACTCAGCCCCCCCCCCGTCCATGCAAGTAAACTTGCCCGAATCCAAAGAGAAACAGGCTCTCAGCGATGCTGTGACTGCCCCGGCGCCGCCCGGGCAGGCGAAACTACTGGCTCTTCTACTCCTTTGTCATGTGCACAGGCTCCCGTCCCCAGGGCCCTCCTCCCACCCCCTCCCTCCCTCCTCCCTACCCTCCCCTCCCTCCCTCCCTCTCCGTCCTCCCTCCCCTCCCTCCATCCTCCTCCCTCACCTCCCCCCCCTCCCTCCCTCCCTCCTCCCCGCTCCTCCCTCCCTCCCTCCGCCCTCCCCTCCTCACCTCCCTCCCCCCCCGGATCGCGCAGCCGCGCGTTCCAGCTCCCCTCCTCCCATCCCTCCCTCCCCCCCCCGCACTCCTCCTGCTCCGCCCTCCTCCCTCCGTGGCCATTTCGGCTCACATGGGCGGGGGGGGGGGGCGTTGTACGAACCCTCCGGGCCTTTAGGTGGTGCTCCTCGTGGGCACGATCCACGTGCTGGGGTGTGCCGCAATGGCCAGGGGGGGCGCAGTGCGAACACTGCCTCTGGGGCCGTGGGTGGAGATCCCTGTGGGCCATGATCACGATCCGTGTGCGAGGTGTGCCGAAGTAGGCGGGATGGCGGGATGCGAACCTTGTCTTTGGGGCCGTCCGTGGATGTCCTTGCGGGCCCCGATACTTGTGCGAAGTGCGCCGAAGCGAGCGGGGCGATGTGATGAAGCTCCTCTCTGGTGCCGCAAATGCATTTACTTGCGGGGCAAGGTCCGCGTAAGGGGGTGTGCTATTGTGCGAACCTCGTCTCTGGTGACGTGATTCAGTGGGTCTCCCTGTAGGACGCGATGCCTGCGAGGGGTGTGCTGGCATGGGCGGGGGGACCCTCAGCCTAGCCTGTCTGAGGGGCTCAGGTGGAACTCTCTGAGGTGCACGATCCTTATGACAATGTATATCCTCCGATGCCGAACACTTTAGACTACAACTGGAGCTCGCCGGAACCTAAGCGCGCGCGAAACGCGCGCGTGGTTCTAGTATGCATATACTTGTGAACATTATGTATGTATGTATGGACGTGTGTATTGGTGTGTGCATGTGCCTGTATGTATGAATGCACGTGTGTTCGTACGTATGCATGTATGCATTTATGGATGCATGTATGTATGCATGTAGGTATGCTTGTAAACATTATGTATGTATTGTTGTACATATATATATACATATATATATATATACACGTATGTATGTATGCATGCATGCATGCATGCATGTATGCATGTACGTATGTATGCATGCATGTATGTATGCATGTATGTAAATACTTATATGTATGTATATGTATGTATGTGTGTATGTATGTACGTATGCATATATGTATATATATATGTATCTATGTATGTATGTGCATTCATGTATGTGTATAGATATGCATGTCTGTATATGTATGTATGTATATATGTATGGATGCGATGAATGTATGTATGTATATATGCATGCCTGTGCGTGTAGAAATATACGTGTGCTTGTATGTATGTCTGTATGTGTGTATGTACGTATGTGCGAATGTACGTCGGTCTGTCTGTCTGTCTGCATACATGCATGCATGCAAGCATGCATACACGCACGCACGCACGCACGCGTGTATGTATGCATGCATGTATGGATGTGTGTAGACATGTATCTATGTATGCATGAATGCAGGTATGTATGCAGGTATAGCTGTATGTATGCATGCATGTATGTATGTATGTATGTATGTGTATGTATGTGTATGTATGTATGTATGTATGTATGCATGCACGCATGCATGCATGCATGTATGCATGCATGCATACGCACATACATACATGCATGCATGCATGCATGCATGCATGCATGCATGTATTGTTTAATGTTTGTCTGTTTGTGCATATATATATATATATATATATACATGTGTCTGAGTAGGCCCTGGGTGGGGCCTAGATCTGTACCTCTGCGTGGCATGGGGGGCCAAACGAGCCTGGACCCGCCAAAAGGGCTCCAAGGGACCCTGAGGCCACCAAATGGAGCCCTCAAGAGGGCCAGAAAGCACCAAAACGCTCCTTGCACGCCGACCATTGCAGACGGCTTACGTGGCCTCCAAGACTCCCCAAGAGAGCTTCACGCTGATCCCCGACAGAGGCACCAGGGGCGAAAATCATTGATATTTTTTAGGTTTCTTTAAGGATTTTCGTGTGGTCGTCTGCTCCGCTGCCCGACGGCTGGAGACGGCACAAGAGGCGCCCAAGAGGGCCCCAAGACACTCCAAAAGGGCGCCCATTTGGGCTGTTTTGGGGTCCTCTTGGAGGACTCTAGGGCAGTCCTTGGGCGATCTTGGGGGCTGGTTTTGGCCTATTGGGGTCCTCTTAGGAGGCCTCTTGAAGGCCTTTTGGGGCGTCTTGGAGTCTTCTTGTGTCGCCTAGGGGCCATCTGGAGCGTCTTGGAGCGATCGTTCGGCGACTCGGGGTCCTCCTGGACCGTCTTCGGAGCCTCTTGGGGCCCTCTTGGCCTGTCGTGGGGCCCTCGTGGGCCGCAAACACGTGCCCCGGAGCTCGGGGGGGGGACCGCGCCAGACCAGAGGATATTTGAGAACTTTGGGTCCAGGTCCCTCGCGAACCCTCAGGATCGACGACGGAGGCTCAGGGAATTGGGCAACCGATCTGAGCCCGCCGCGCGCCTTTTTAGATGTGCTCAGAAGAGAGGGGGGCGGAACCTCGGGGACAGTGCGCCTCGTGTGCTTCGTCTAGGCTTTCACTTTTCTATACGCGCTTCGCCCGATAGATATGGTACAATTCGCGCAACGCTTTCCAATCCCTCTATCTCTCTCTTTGTTCGTTTCTTTTTTTTGTTCTCTCTCTCTCTCACCTGTATATGCGTCTATATTTAAGAATACCGCATAGACCACCCTTCGGGTGATAAGGAGGTGAGGGGGGGGGAGGTGAGGGGGGGGGAGGGACCAACGTCGCACTCGATTGATCTCACTATCGAACTCACTACCGATCTCACAATCGATCTCAATCGATAGATCTCACAATCGATCTGACTATCGATCTCATAATCAATCTCACAATCGATCCCACAATCGATCTCACATTCGGTCTCGCTATTGATCTCACAATCGATATCACAATCGATCTCGCATTCAATCTGACTATCGATCTCACTATCAAACTCACTATCGATCTCATTATCGATCTCACATTCGGTCTCACTATCGATCTCACTATCGATATCACAATCGATTTCACAATCGATCTCGCATTCGGCCTCACTATCGATCTCTCTATCGAACTCACTTCCGATCTCATTATCGATCTCACTATCGATCTCACTATCGATATCACAACCGAACTCACAATCGATCTCACATTCGGTCTCATCATCGATCTCACTATCGAAATCACTACCGATCTCATTACCGATAGTGATCTCACTACTAACTCAATCGATCGATCTCACAATCGATCTGACTATCGATCTCACAATAGATTCCACACTCGATCTCACATTCGGTCTCACTATCGATCTTACTATCGAGATCACAATCGATCTCACAATCGATATCCCATTCGGTCTCACAATCGATCTCACTATCGATCTCATTATCGATCTCACATTCGGTATCACAATCGATCTCACAATCGATCTCACAAGCGACATTCGATCTCACGTTCGATCTCACAATCGATATCACTACCGATCATCAAAACAAAACATCAACATCGTCATCATCATCACCATCATCACCATCATCATCATCATCATCATCATCATCATCATCATCAATATCATCACCATAATCGGGACACCGACGGGGCACCGGCGGGACACCGCGGGCCCCCGGAAGCCCGGAAGGGGGTCATTTGGTCGGCGCGAATTGTTTCTCAGCCTACTTTTCTATCCTTTTTTTTCAGCCACAGACACCGACAGGACACCGACGGGACACCGGCGGGACACCGCGGGGCCCCCGGCCCCGCCCGGAAGGGAATCATTTGGTCGGCCGCGCCACTTTTTTTTTTTTTTTTTCTTTTCCCTCTAATTTTTTTTTTTTTTTTTTTTCTTTATTTCTTTTTCTTTTTTCTTTTTTTTCATCTTTCTTTTTCTCGTTCAGCCACACGGTGACACCAGAACGGGTGCACCGGCGGGGACACCGCGGGCCCCGGCCGCCCGGAAGGAATCATTTGGTCCGGCATGCGGTAGCACAGAGACTTTTTTTTTTCAGGGTAGTTTTTTTTTTTTTTGTATTTTTTTTATTTTTCCTCTCGCCCGCCTACGCAGCTTCGCCTCGCCCGCACGGCACGCACGAACACGAAACCGAAATCGATTTCCCGGTAAGGGGGCTCTCCGTTCCACTTCGATCTCACCCCCTCACCTCCGATGAATGGGGAGGGGGGCCTGGGTGCATATTATGCTGGCGTACGGTGGGCCAGGGGCCCGGGTCGGGACACCCTCCCGGATTTTCCCCACGGCATGTTTGACCCCTTCCAGGGCTTCCCGGAGGCCACCAGAAAACGACCAGGGCCGAAGACGCCTGAATATTGTTTCAAGACGATTCAAGAGGCCCCGGAGGCGTCGAAGGCTCCAAGATGGGCCCCGAGAGGGCCCCAGAAGGTCAAAATTGCTTCACCCCCAAGAGAACGGTGCTGTCTTAGCATATTTGCATTTTGGGTCTTAACAGCGTCCAAAACGGCCCAAGAGGCCCCACATATCGTCCCAAGACGGCCCAAGAGGCCTCCAAGAGAGCCGCAGGACGGCCCAAGAGAGCCTCAAGACGGCCTTAGAGGCGCCCAATACGGCCCAATACGGCCCCAAGAGGAGGAACTCCAACTGACATTTCGAGCTCTTCGACACGAGTGGGCCCCCGAGGCCGCAGCAGGCACCCAAGAGGCCTCCAATGGTCACAAAAGATCCCCCAAGAGGCCCCCACATGACCCACTTGAGGCCACAAGCAGCTTCAACACTCGCTCCACGAGGCGCCCGAGAAGTACGCCGCATGTCAAGAGATCCCGAACTTTAGGTATCCAAGGATCCTCTGGTCCCAAACTCAGGTTGCAGTAGCGGTATGGACCGAAGGCCATATATAAGCAAATCATTGGTTTGGCGACGGACCCATCCCTA